ATCTTCCTCTCTCTCAGCCTCTCTATATATCTGACTTTGTAATAAAAAAAAATAAATAAATAAATCTTAAAAAAAAATAAAGGCTGAAAGAGAAGTGGGCAAGAACAAACCAGAGAGGGGGGCGGGGAGGGAATGTTTGCTGGCTCAAAGGGGAAGGGGAAAGCGGCCAGTCCGCTCAGGTGACAGAACACTTCAGCATTCCAACTGCATGGGGCTCTCCAATGCGGCCACAGGCCTTCGTGAGGACCTCCTGTGATACAAGGCAACAAGCAGGGAGGACACAAAATGCTTCAAAGAGCAACAAGCTCAAGATGACTCAAGTGCAGCTAAATGGATGGTCAACAAAACCCAAGGCTTTACCCAGAAGCAACAGGCATCAAGGCTGAGGTCAGAGGAGCTGAAGGTGAGCTGTGGCAAGCAGGGCAGAAAAGGCAGGCGAGGCCAGCCTGGGCACGCCCTGAACACCATGCTGAGGAATCTGACCTTTACTCTGTAGGCGACAGGCAGTGCTGTGATATGGAAGTGCACACTAAACAGCAGGAATGTATGTCCTAAAGAGAACCCTAAGGCTCAGGAGGTTGGCTAAGGAGACCACTCTAACAGTTCTGGTTATAACAGGACACAAAACAATAAATACGGGGACTTCAAAATGTGGGCAAAAAGGAAGGCAAAGGTTAAGCCCCGGCCTGGGACCCAGGAGCCCATGCAGGATTCTCTTGGTATACAGACTGCTTCACTTCTGATCCAGCTTCCTGCTAACGTGCGGGAAAATGCCAAAGATGGCCCAAGGACTTGGATCTGTCCACCCAGGTGGATGACCAAGAAATTGTTTCTGGTTCCTGGTTTAGCCTGGCCCACCCCAACTGCTGTAGCCATTTGAGGAGTGAACCAGTAGGTGAAAGATCTCTGACTATCTTCTCCCTTTGTTGTAACTCTGCCTTTCAAAGTAAAATACATAAATCTTTGAGGCATGTTCTGTGGCATAGCAAAGTAACCTCCAACTGTGGCACCAACATTCCATATGGGTGCTGGTTTGAATCCTGGACACTTCTAACCCAGCTCCTTGCTTGGCCTTGGGAAGCAGTAGAGGTTGGCCCAACTTCTTAGGACCCTGCACCCACGTAGGCGACCTTGAAGAAGCTCCAGCCTCCTGGTTTGGGACCTGCCCAACCCTGGATGTTGTGGTCATTTAGGGAGTAAATCAGTGGATCAAAGATTCTCTGTGTGTCTCTCCTCTCTCTGTAAAATTTGCCCTTCCTATAAAAATACAGAACTCTTTAAACAAACAAATAAATAAATCGTTAAAATAGCAACAAATATTTTGCATTTCTGAGGCCAGCACAGTGGCTCAACAGCCTAATCCTCTTTCCCGCTAGCACCAGCATCCGGTTCATGTCCTGGCTCCACTTCCCTCCCAGTTCCCTGCTTGTGGCCTGGGAAAGCAGTAGAGGATGGCCCAAAGCCTTGAGACCCTGCACCTGCAAGGGAAGCCCAGAAGAGGCTCCTGGCTCTTGGCTTCAGATCAGCATAGCACCAGACATTGTGGTCACTTGGGGTCGTGAATTATCAGATGGAAGATCTTCCTCTCTGTCTCTCCTCCTCTCTGCATATCTGACTTTCCACTAAAAATAAATAAATCTTTTTTAAAAAGAATTCCAAACTGTTCTCACAAAGGGAAAAGAAAGGTTTAGGGACCCTCCTGCACTAACACCAACAGGTTAACTGGGCAAGGAATGAAAACGGAGAGGGGAACAACAAAAGGAGGAAGAAAACTGAGTCCAGTTCTCCTTTGTTGAAAGAGACCAAGTGACCTGAAATAAATGAATTTGCTTAGGAGCCTGCGGGGCTTCCCACAGAGATAGAAGCAGTGGGTGATATTTAATTTCTAGGGTACAGAAAAGCAAAGCATTCACTCCATGCCAAAGCGATCAGCTGCTCGCATAGGTTTTACTTATTAAACCGACAAAGCCAGAGGAGAAAAAAAACAGTGTTAACCGAGGGGCTATTTTCTCACATTCTCTCTGGTCCCTACCCTAGTAACATAAGTTGCTCTTCATGTCAGCCTGAGATATAAATAACATCCATTTCCTTTCACAGGCCGCATTCTCTAACGTTCTGTTTTCTGGGTCCAGGGAAAAAATTACTCATAACATTATCAGCATTCTAAATTTGAGATACTACAAAGCTGGCTCACTTTGAATCAACCATGGAATTTAAAAAAAAAAGGCACTTCAAAAGATCAACTTTCATTGGCCATTACTATGTGGTCCAACTAGCCCAGAGATGTCCCCCATGGGACTTTTAGGCAGCAGGTTCATTTCAGGTTCACAGCTCAGAATCCTCCAGAAAACAGACACAGGTGTTTGCATGTTTCCAGGGTGAAATGCAGGTGAGGCACTTATGGGAGGACTTGGGGAAGTTCTAAGCCCCAGTGGTGTCTTTCCGGACCACAGCATCTTCAGTTAATTGCAAGATGGAAATAATGAAACACTACTCCCACACAAAACTCTTCTTTTTTTAAGAAAAAAGCCACACAAAGTTAATGGGAGTCAAGTGAGAGGCTGAAAAAGCTTCGGCCTACAACACCCATTGGTCTAGTGTCCATACAGGGGCTTAGCCGTGGAAATGGACCCAGTCAGAACAGACTGCCTCCCCGGCACCCAGCAGCACCACATCCCAGCTCCTGGGCACCAGTCGGAACCTGAATTCACAGACTCCAATCTGAAAAAAGCGGCAGTTCATGTGTCACCAACCCCTACCTAGCAGGCCCTACCACTCCAGAAATCTGTAGGAAGAAAAGAATGGATATGTTGGAGAAATCCCCCAGGCGCCATCACCCGTGGCAGAGGGGAGCAGTGAAGACCTGCTTCACCTTGCCCCCAAACACCTAAGCAATCAAGGTCCTACTGCCCTTGGCTCACCAAACAAGAACCCTTGGCCCCACCTGCTCCCTCTGGACCAATCCTAGACTCTTCAGCAGACTGCCATCCCATGGGGATGCCTTATTCCTCCTACTATACACAATGCAGCACTTTTTAAAGTTATTTATCTATCTGAAAGGCAGAGTGAAAGAGAAATCTTCCTGCAGCAGCTCCCTCCCCACCCCCACCCCACCCAACAGCGGAAAGGACCAGGTGTGAGCCAGACAGCAGACACCAGCCAGAAGGCCAAGGATGTGGGCCATGCTCTGCACATCCTGCAGAAAGCTGGAGCAGCAGAAGATACCTGGGCCTCGAACCTGCACTCCAACAAGGGATGGTGCTGTGGTAAGGAGTAGCTTAACCCACTGCCCTCCAGCGTGTAGAATTTTGAAGCAGATTTTGCCTCGGGTTAGTTCTGCAGGCTGCTGAGAAGTGGTCATTTTGATCACATGTGTAAAGAAAGAACCAAAGCCCTTGCATGTTTCCCAGCAGACTAAGTCCACTCAGAGAGGACCCTCATAGCAACGGGCACCGGGTGCCATGCTCAGCAATTTCAACAGAGGTGGTTTAGCAGCTCCCAGAGTAAGTCCACTGACTACAGGCATGATCATGGGGCAAATTCTTTTACACTAAAAATCGAGACAAATTATTTATTCTTCTGCAGTAATTGATTGGTTTTTGGTTAGAGAAAGGGAAGATTCTTGAGACCCCTGCCTGATCCTCACCCAGAGGCAGACAGCTGGGTTTTCAGAGCAGGCTGTCCTGATGTCCCAGGCAAGTCCTCCTCCATCAGCAGCCTGGCTCCGGGATGCTGAGCTGCCAGGTGCGGATCACAAAGGCAACAGGAGCACATGGCTTTCCATCTTCACCTCTCCCCGGTCCCTCCCCCCCACACACACCACCCACCACCACATTCCAGAATGCAAGGGGCGCTTCAAGTGCAGCCGCAGACAAACCCAAGATTGTCACCCGGCAGGTGCTTTTTGAAGCGCGCCTTGAGATAGCAAGGCACGGAGGAAGTCCTGGGCTGAGGAGGCTTCCTCTCCTACCAAGTTGTGCAACACGCTACTTCTCCCCGCCCCTCCTCATTTCCAAGCCTTGTAAGAGCGAGAGTGGAAGGCTGGCTCACACTCAACCACCCTGACAGCCACTTCATGGAAAAGAACTGAGAAAAGAGGGACCAATGCGTGTCGGTGGCTCTGCGACATGCGCCCATCCCGGGACTTCAGAGGCGCAAATACGGGGAAAATCCCAGGTCGGCCGCCCTCCCCAGACACCGGCTGACCCCAATTTCAGCGCTCCGCCTCTCATACTCGCAAAGACAGCTTTCTGCTTGACAATGGACCTTTGTCCTGCCCAGCCTGACCCACCAGGGACTCGGTGCATGAACACCTGCACCTGGAACGGCCTCCAACGTCATTTACCACAGGGTGGCAGGCTGCCAGGGCGCCCCAAAGTACACCCCACCCCACGCTGCGGGGAGCGGTCCTACGGCGTGCACACCCACACCAAACGCGGACGGACGGGGCGGCTGAAGTCACTCAGCCCAGCGGGCGACACGAGACCCCAGAGCTGGCTCGACCGAAAGCCGGCAACGGGACGTCAGCAGAAGTCTACAGTGTCAGGGTCCTGGGGGCCCCCCACGGCGGCCGCCTGCCCTCCTCATGCCGGCTGAGAACAACATCCCCACAGAACTGCAGCCCCACGAGTCCGCGCGTCCGCAAGGCCAGGACCGCGGGCTTGGCCTCGTGCATCCACTGGGCCACACCGCAGGCCCGGCTCTCCGCCCCAGGCCCACATCCCCAGCCCAGCTTCCTACCGCCCGCAGGACCTGCAGAGTCGCGCTCGCGTGAGCCGGAGGCGGCAGACATTTCCCTGCCAGCTTCCTCAAGCGTTTCATCCCGCCGCCCGCCCCCGGCGTGCACCACCCGCCGACGGACCTGCCCTCGCATGCCCCCTCCACCAATCGCAACTCTGTGTGCGCCTTGGCCCCGCCCCCAAGCACAACGAGGCCCGACCCCCTCGGGCGGAGAGTGTCCTCCTCCAATCCCCATCGCCCTCTCTGAGATGGATACCTGCCTTCGCCAATGGTCGCGCACCCTGGCCGGGTATCAGGGTTCGAGTTCCAACCGCGCGGCGTGGGCATCTCAGGCTCGGACTCTGCGCACCTGTAGCGAGACAGCCACTGGAACTCGGGATCTGGGGTCGCAGGGTCAAAGCCTGAAGCAGAAACAAGAATCGCAAACTCAGCCATGGGCTTGAAGAGCCCGCTCCACCTCCGCATGGTTGTATTCTCTGGAAAGTCTCCAAGCAAAATAATCAATATGAACATAAAAGGTCCTGTCAAGGCAGAGGCAACTCCCTCCCCACCCCGATTCCTGCGACCTCATGGAAACTACCTTCTAAGGTCTGCGGCTCATTTGCATGGACTGCCGAAAGATAATTTGCACCCAGGCAAACTTATCTCCTGTTTCACCAAACTTTTGAAAGCACCTGTGTAATGCAATCTCCTTAATCCTCACAGCAAACTTCACGAGGTAGAGAACTTATTAGAGGTTAAGCTTCAGGTTATAAAGGGGGAGGGGAGAGAAAAGGGAACGACTCCCACAGATGCCAGAGATAACATTACTGAAGAACAAGCTCGGTTCTTTCGGGACTCATAGGCTCCATCTGCAGCTTGCAAACTCTCCAAAGAAATACCAACTCCGGAGTGCCTACTATGAGATGTATTCCAACCAGTCCTCTGACTTGCTCTCGAACACATTACCAAACCCTCCCCCTCTAGAAATTCTTGAGCTTCTGGGGCCAGTACTGTGTCAGAGCAAATTAAATTGCCACCTGCCACACCAGCATCCCATTTAGGATTCCCAGATGCTGCACTTTCCATCCAGCTCCCTGCTAAGGCACCTGGAAAAACAGGACCGTGGCCCAAGTGCTTGGGCCTCTGCATCCGCTTGGGAGACCTGGAAGAAGCTGCTGGCTCCTGGTTTTTACATGACCCAGCCCTGGCTGTTACAACTATCCAGGGAGTGAACCAATGAAATGCAGCAAGAGAGAGACACACAGAGAGGATATGTGTTTTTCTCTGTTTCTGTAACTCTGCTTTTCAAATCAATAAAATGAATCTTAAGAAACAAAAACAAAAAAAAAAAAAAAAAAAAGAAATGTTTCTTCTAGAGCCACCAAGGTCTGAGTCAAGTCCAGGTCTGACTCCAAGCCACTTGCTAGGAACCCTGGTGCTTTCTTGGGGATGGGATCCAAATCTAACAGGAAATTCATTTAGGTTTCATATATGCTTTATTTAATCCTCCAGAGGAAACTATATGACACGTTGAGTAATTTGTGAGTGTGACCAAGTTCCATGATGTGGAATTTTCTAATTGTGGAGTCACGTTGCTGCTCAAAAAGTTTTAGATTTTCGATATTGTATTTTTGGATTAGGAATGCTCAACCTGTGACTCTAGAACCACTCCTCCTTAAGACTATTACATGCAAAAGTCATTCTTTTTCTAGATTCATTTATTTTACTTGAAAGAGTTACAGGGGCAGGAAGGAGACAGAGATTTTCCATCCACTGGTTCATTCTCCAAATGGCTGCAATGGCCAGAGGTGTACTGGTCTGAAGTTGGGAGCCAGGAGCTTTTTTCAGGTCTCCCATGTAGGTGCAAGGTCCAAGGCCTTGGGCCATCCTCCAAAGTTTTCCCTGGTCATTAGCAGGGAGCTGGATGGGAAATGAAATAGCACTTGAACCAGTGCTCATATGGGATGCCAGCACTGCAGGCAGAAGACTAACCTGATATGCCCCACACCAGCCACAAAAGTCATCCTTATTTTAGAATTTGGAGGGATTGGCCTTGTAGTGTAGCCAGTAAAACTTCTACCTGTGGCGCCGGCATCCCATAAGGGCACTGGCTTGAGTCCCAGCTGCTCCACTTCTGACCCAGCTCCCTGCTAATGTGCCTAGAAAAGCAGCAGAAGATGGCCCAAGTGCTTGGGCCCCTGTATCCACATGGGAGATCTGGATGAAGCTCCTGCCTCCTTCCTCCTGGCTTAGCTCCTTCCTCCAACCCAGCTCTGGCCATTGTGGCCATTTAGAGAGTGATCCAGCTGAGAGAAGATATCTCTCTCTATGTTGCTTTCTGTCTGTAGCTCTATATTTCAAATAAATAAACAAATAATCTTTCTTTAAAAAAAAAGTCAGTGATATATATTTTCCCTTGTTTACAGAATAAATTTCAAACTCTAACCAGTCACTCAAGGTTCTATAATCTTGCTTCTATTTCCTTTTCTCTCAAAGCCACTTCACATCCAAAGACAGTTCCCTGACTGGCACTCCAGGTGAAACAGTTGGAGGCCCTAGAGGTTGAGGCTACACAACATAAGGCAGCCCTCCCCCTACTCCTTCAGAAACAGGATGTATACTTGAAAAGAAACAGTTAGTATTGGGGATAAAAAAAAAAAGTGCTTAAGCCACAGCACCTGGTGGCTTGAATTTGCCTGTGCGGCAGCTGATCTTCCACAACACACAAACCCTCCTTTACCTTCCTAGCTGATCTCCGATTTAAACAAATTCTAGCCTATCTGAGAGGCCACTAACCTCCACTGCCAGGCCATAACAAGACCATGTTGTCAGCTGCCTTGGAGCACAGGGCAGGGTTCAAGGGCAAGAGAGCCTATAGGGCAGACTCCCGGGGTGGCAGGGAGAGAGAAGATGGGTCTCTAGAAACTGCTGACCCTGCCAGTCTGCAAAAGATGCTGTGTCACAGTTATTGCACCAAGTGCAGCTCTGCCCAGAGCCAGGAGGGCAAAGGGACCCGGCTGTAGTTCATACCCAGGTCCAGACACTAACTAGGAAAGCAAACACAATGGTTGGCTACTGGCCTAGAGGCACTTCTGCTTCATGCAAACAGCTTTGAGATGGCATGGAAATTATGGAGTGAATCCCAATGGTGAAAAGTCAACTGGAGTGTGTAGTGCAGTGCCCACCTTCCCAGGGAGTTGGGGGTTTACCTACCAGGACAGGCCCTGGCAACTTCCTGGAGGAACGTCCTGGTATGTGAGCCGAAGGGGAGCTGGAATACAAGGCTGAGCTCTGCTGTGTCCAGCTGGACAGTGACATCGGAGCCTGCATAGAGGAAGTAGGATGTGAGCCCTTGGCCACCAAGAGCTCAGAGCTGGTGTGCATCTTGAAACAGGTGTTTCTAAAATAGAGAATCCCAACCCAGGCTCCCAAGGCCCACTAGCACTGAACTGGCTGCTGTTGGGACAGTAAAGGAACCTTCACACCCTCCATTCCAAATCAAAGCATCCCCACTCTGGGGGGGGGGGATAGACCAAGGCTAGGCAGCAGGCATCCCACTGCACTATTGCATGGAATTGGAAGACAACAGGCTCTTTAGTGACATGAAAAGTACAAGGAAGTGGACAAAAGGCGCTGTCCATCAGTCAGTCTGTTTGAGTATGCCAAGTACCAGGAGTAAAAATGACAAAGAGAACAAACAAGGCCTGTCTCAGGGAAGTTGGAAGTGGAAGGTACCCTGTGCACAGCAGCACTCAAAGCACACATGCCAAGATGACGGCTAAGCAGAAGCAATCTAGCCGGGTGACTAAGTGTGGGCTCCAGAGCCAGGATGCGTGAATTCTGGCAACACCCAATATGGAACTTGTTCATTTCTTCAGGCCTCAATTATCCTGTCCATAAAATGGAGATGAGAACAGTGATAAACACAACGTGATGTGCGAGAAGCCTGTAGTACAGGAACCACCACAGATCACCACTGATTAAATTTCTGTTTCTATTACTATTATCATTATTATTGGCTAGCAAAAACCATTCAATCAAAACTGTCAAAGCACTGGCAGTAACAGAACAACAGGGATGAGGAAAGGCAAGGAGAGAGAAAACGTGTATCAGGGAGGTACCCACACTTCAGGGCTTCAGCAGAGGCTTCCTAGGACGGGAAACGTGTGGCCTGAAGCTCTGGAGGAGGGCTAGGAGCAAGTGGCTCAGGTGGACATAGGTGTGAGGCTTTGAGCAGGCAGGATTGGCGGGTGCAGGGGTTCTGCAGTGAGCCCGTGAGGTTTGGGCGGATGGAAGTGATTCCGAGGTCACTCTGCGCAACCCACAGGGCAGAGAGTGATGGAAGAAGAGGATGGGCAGGGGCCGCATGCTGTAGGGTCTTACTTGCCACAATGGTAGGGGGAGCAGGAAGCTCTGATGGACCCCCTTCCCCAACTGGGACCCAAGCGAGAACACCACTCACCAAGGATATACATTTCACCATCTGGGGACACTGTCAGGAAGGAAAATGAGAATTTCCTTGGCGACTGAGCATCCCAGCCCCCAAATCACTCCCACTCCCACTGCCCACCCCTCATACACAAAGGCAGGGACACCCTGGGGGAGAGGGCCCAAGGAGAGGGACTCGTACCCCTCTACCCCTGTGGCACCTTCTTCCAGCGTAAAATCCCGAGAAACTGGCACTATCTGGTCCAAAGAGACATCATCCCCGGTGATGGCCATCCTCCGGTGTGAATACAGGAAGAGTCTAAGGACAGGAAGCAGAGGTAAGGACAGAGTCCACTGACTGTCCCGCAGGCCCATCCCAGAGGCCTTGGGCCACTCAAACAGCTGCCTTGGCCTCCAGCTTTGTGCTGTTGATGCCCTGGCCAGGCACACTCCACTTGCCATCTCTACTTGCTGGCCAGAACCGTTCTTGCATGCAGGTGATCTCCTTTGTTAGGAAAACAGACCTAATGTGTCTACAGTGCACTCCATCACTGTGTGTGATGGGAGCAGCATCTGTTCTCCGAGCCTCAACTTCCCCATTGGTAGAATGCAGTTAGTGAAGTTAACGATGTGTAAGGCTTTGGCCCAGTGTGATGGCTCAACTGACTAATCCTTCTCTAACACTAGCATTCCATATGGGTGCCAGTGCATGGTCCAGTTGCTCCCATCCAGCTCCCTACTTAGAACTTGGAAAGAAGGAGAGGATGGCCCAAGTCCTCAGGTCCCTGCAACTGTGTGGAAGAGCTTTCTCTCTGTCTCTTCTCTATGTAAATCTGACTTTCCAATAAAAGTGTGTGTGTGTGTGTGTGTGTGTGTGTGTGTGTGTGTGTGTGTAAGGCTCACTGCCCTCAGCTCTGAGATGTTGAGATCCTCTTACTGGCTTCGACAACTGTATCATGCAGTATTTGCTCTCTCTATCTTTGTGTAAGATGCAAGTGTCAGTATGCAAAAGTTCACTGAGCACTTTCTACGTGCCTCATGGTGCCTTAAAGGCCTTACAGGTGCGGACAAGCATTAGTCTGGAAAAATAGCGATGGAGAAAAGCTTATAACCACAGGGCTGGAAGACAACAAAATTTAAAGTAGTGTCTTAAGCATCTTTTAAAATTTTTCTTATCAATTAATTAATTTGAAAGACTGAGCAACAGAGAGAGGCAAAGAATTTCCATCCACTGGTCACTTCCAAGGTAGCCACCACAGCTGGGCATGGGCCAGGGCAAAGCCGGAAGCCACGGACGTCATCGGGGTCTCCTCCATGACTGGCAGGGGTCCAATCACGTGAGCCCTGACCTCAGCCTCCCTGAGGAGCTGGGAGGCTGAGGTCCAGTATGAGAGGTGGGCATCCCAAAGTCTTAACCACTGTGCCAAAGGAAGGGTAAGCTGCTGTTGTGAAACCTGCATCCCATATCAGAATCCTGGTTCAAGACCCAACTGCTCTATTTCTGACCCAATTTCCTGTTAATAGCCTGGGAAGGTAGGGAATAATGACTCCAGCACGTTGTACCTGTCATGTATATGGGAGACCTGGATAGAGTTTTTGGCTCATGGCTCTGATCTGGCCCAGCCCTGGCTGATGTGAACACTTGGAGAGTCAACCAACAGATATGGGAGATCTCTCCTTTTCTCTATAACTCAGTCTTTCAAATAAATTCTTTTTTTTAAGATTTATTTATCTTTTAAAGATTTACTTATTTTTATTGGAAAGGTAGATATACAGAGAGGAGGAGGAAAAAAGAGAGAGGAGGAGAGACAGAGAGGAAGTTCTTCCGACCGATGGATCACGCCCCAAGTGGTTGCAACAGTTGGAGCTGAGCCAATCCAAAGCCAGGAGTCAGGATCTCCATCCTGGTCTCCCACATGAGTACAGGGCCTCAACAACTTGGACCATCCTCTGTTGCTTTTCCAGGTCATAAACAAGAAGATGGATTGAAAGTGGAACAGCCAAGACTTGAAATAGCATGCAAATGGGATGCCAGCAATGTAGGTGACGGATTAGCCTGTAATGCCATCACACCAGCCCCCAAATAAATACATATATTAAAAAAAAATCTTGGTGGGCCTGGCACAGCAGCCTTGTGGCTAAAATTCTCACTTTGAATGTATCAGGATTCCATATGCATGCCAGTTCATATCCTAGCTGCTCCATTTCCTATCCAGCTCCCTGTTTGTGGCCTGGGAAAGCAGTCAAGAACAAGCATTGGGATCCTGCACCTGCATGAGAGACCTGGAAGATGCTCCAGGCTCCTGGCTTTGGATTGGCTTAGCTCTGGCCATTGTAGCTACTTGGGGATGTGAATCAACAGATGGAAGAACTTTCTGTCTGTATCTCCTCCTCTCTGTAAATCTGAGTTTCCAATAAAAAATAGTCCTTTAAAAAAAAAGAAGATCTGGAGGTGGGAGGCCAGCACAAAGGCTCAACTGGCTAATCCTAACCTATAAGTACCACATCCCATATGGACATGTGTTCATGTCTCAACTGCTCTGCTTCCCATCCAGCTCTCTGCTGGTGGCCTGGGAAAGCAGAAGAGGATGACCCAAAGCCTTGGCACCTTGCATACACATGGGAGATCCAAAGGTGTTTCTGGTTCCTGGCTTCAGATGACCTCAGTTTCAGCCATTGTGATCACTTGGAGAGCAAATCATTGTCTGCAAGATCTTTGTCTCTTCTTCCTTCTATACATCTGCTTATCCACTAAAAATCAATAAAGCCTTTTTTTTTTTAAGTGGACCAGAGCGATAAACTGACTCCTTTTGAGATCCTGTGAGATAAAACATGTGAAGGACTGAGAACATAGCGGTCTGTCTGTTCTCATCAGAACGATCATGACTCTATGAGACAGACCCTGGCCCAGGGCAAGGACTGCAGTCCAGCTGAAGAGCACAGAGCAGAGTTAGCCCAAGGCCCCTGAGGCAGCGATCAGCCCCTCACTTACGCGTATTCCTGGTGAGCAGGATCTGGGCGAGAACGCACCAGCCCCAGGAGGCGGCTCTGCCGGCTGTCTCCTTCACAGAGCGCACCTTGCACGGCCTATAGCTCCGTCAAGGAACACACAAAGCAGGCCCGAGGCTGGGCTCTACGCATCCCGTCTGCTCCCCCTTCTCCGCCCTCCCTCGGCTGCTCAGATTCACCATAGGACCTTCTCTCTGTGAAATGGGACAATCATCTTCAATCTAGGGACTGGAGGTGCACTGCAACGAGTTAAGCTGACACCTGCAGCCTGACAGAGGAACACCGATTTAAGGGCTGCTACTCCGGTTCCCATCCAGCATCCTGTTCATGCAGTGGAACATGACCCCAGTCCTTGGGCCCCTGCCACGCATGTGGGGGAACTGGATGTAGTTTCCAGGCTCCTGGGTTTAGTCTGGCCCAATCCCGGTCACTGGGGAGGCTGTTTGAGTGAACCATTCAATCTGTCTTTCCCTCTGCCTTTTCAATAAATAAAAACATCTTGAAAACAAACCCTCCACCTTGTAGGAAGCTGGGAGGATCACTGCATATTGAAAGCACTTGCCATGCTCGCTTCAGCAGCACATATACTAAAATTGAAAGCACTGGCAGAGAGTCCAGGGCTAAGGAAACACTTGGTAATTACTACCGTGACCACCCAACAGCTCCAAGATGGGAGGCAAGTGGCCAGACACCTTGCACTGACTTCCCAGAGCCCAGGAGCTCAGGAGCCAAGAAGGATACGATGATGCAATAATCGTTGTCCAGCAGAGTCTCCTGGATGGCCACAGACTGGTCCATGCTTGTGCCCAAGGAGCCAATGCACCAGGGGAGGGCAGACGGCAGCTGCTTCGGGTCAAGAAGCTAGCAATGCGGTGATGGAGTTTCCTGGGAAGACTGGGGGGGAGATATCAAAGGCTTGTGTGGAGGAAGGTAAGGACAGACCCTCCTCTTCCTCCTCCTGCAGTTTGAGAGGGCCACAGCCTCACTGTCATCTGCTGTGACACTCTTACTCTGCCAGGGCATCCAGCGCTCTGCCTCCCTTTGCAGGGAGAAGGTGTGGGTGTTGGCATCCGGTCGGGGATAGGGGCTTCTCTGTCCTTTCAGGAAGAGAAGGCCCCCTCCTGGAGTAGGAACCCAGTGCTGTACCTACTTTCCTGGCAGATGGCAAAAGCATCCCGTGGCTCCTGGCCTTTCATGCTGTCCAGAGGCCCGTTGCATCAGCCACAGAGTGGGGTGGGGGGGAGGCTGTCTGGCCTGAAGGCCACAGGATGCGGAAGAGGGGGAGCCCACCCCTGTTCATCCACTCCCTCTTGCCCAGCCCTGTCCTGGCTTTCCTGCCCACACCTGCTGCCAGCTCCTTGCTATTGCCGCCTACCTTCTGAGCTGTCACTTCTGGGCGTGATGGGAACACCGCAGCCGCGGAGCCAGGCTGGCGACTACATTTCCCAGCAGCCCCCAGCGTCAGCTTGGTCGGCGGGCCTGCAAGTCCCAGCATGCCCCAGTTAGCCTTGGGGGTGGAGGTGCCCCATTAACCCCTTAGGCCCTGGGGCGCGCCAGGGTCCCTACTCTGGGACGGTTCAGTTTTGAATGCGCTAACTGTCATTCGGGGACCCCTAAGTTAAAGAGCCAAATTTCCCTTGCCCCGGGCCGGGAAGAAAGATGGTCACTTTTACCTTAAAGGGAAGAAAAATAATACCTTCCTATTTTCTGAATTTCGCCATCAGCTCTCACAGAAGAGGACCGGCACTGGCCAAATAAGTCTCCGGCCCTCCCCTGTGACAACCCAGTCCTAAAGCAAGAGTCTAAAGCCTCCCGCTTCCACGCGGAGAAACCCGGGCTCAGAGGCTGAGGGAAGTGACCAGGACCGTGGCAGTGGGGGGCTGACTCCCGACATTTACAGCCTCAGCCTGTCCGTCTCCTCCCTCAGCTCCCACCTGACCCCTGCCTCCAGGGGATGGACAGGAACACGCTCTGGGCAGTGCTGTGCCTTCCACACGCACTGTGGTGACCTGGAACCAGGTTAGTACAGGGCCTCGGGGAGGGGTCACTGCCTGAGGGGGGAAGGGACTTTGCTGGTCTCCCGGCCCATCCCCACCCTACAACCTGTTCCCTCTTCCTCCCAACCCCTAGCTTTCCCCGTAGTGTACCTGTGGCTGAGATCTCCTTTTGGGCCTGAAACTTCCCCCTCTAAGGTAAGAGGGTCACTCCAGACAGGCACAAATTCTAGATCATTTCGCTCAGTCCCCCACTGTCTCACCCAGCAGCAAGCTGCCTGAGACCACTGCTGCCTTTATATATATATATATATATATTTTTTTTTTTTTAATTGGAAAGTCAGATTTACAGAGGCGAGATAGAGAAAGATCTTCCAGGAAGCTGGATGGGAAGGGAAGCAGCCAGCACTACCCAAATAGGATCCCATCGCGTGCAAGGTGAAGACTTAACCATCAGGTTACAGAACCAGTACCCCACTCCCCCTACCTTCTGCTACTTTTTACGCCTGCAGTTTCCAGAACCCACTTGGCTTTCTAAACACATCTACTGAACTATTCAATGAATTATTTTGAATAAAGACACCTTCTCTCAAACTTTGATCCAAATGGAAGGAACAGCAGGTGGACTCCTGACCAACACCCCTCTTCCTGCCCTAAGCTAAGGTGCCACACTAATGACCAGCCCCCATTTTGTACCTGTAAGCCTTCCGCAGGGGCTGGCACCACTGGCGTAGTGGGTAAAGCTACTGCCTGGTGTGCCTACTTCTTACGTGTGTACCAGTTCCAGTTCTGGCTGTTCCACCTTCTAGTCAGGTCTGCTGATAGGCCTGGGAAAGCAACAGGGACTAGCCCAAATACTTGTCCCTGGGACACCTGTAAGAAACTCCTGGCTTCAACCTGGCCCAGCTGCAGCTTTTGTGGCCATCTGGGGAATGAACCAGTGGATGGAAAATCTCTTTCTCCCTGCCTTTCAAATAAAAACATCTTATCCTTCCTCCAATTGTCAGTTTTTGGAAACATGGATAATACAAATGGATCCCAAGTTTATTTGAATTTTAGTTTCAAGGTCATGTGGTGATGAGGGGAAAAGGGGATTGGTTTAGACCTACCCAAGAGGGTGTAGGTCCCCCAAGGGGAGCAAGAGCATTCCAGCTGCACAGCTAAATCTAAGCGTCAACAAACAAGAAAAGTCTGGGAAAAGCTGCTGAAGAAACAGGCCTTAGAGGATTCTGGAGCCCTCCTCTGCAGGTCAGGTGGATGATTTTCTGGTTCCAGACCAAAACCAGCCTGTTCTGGGACTGGCTGATACCCTGTCCCCTTTGCAGGGAATTTTGTTCAGGTGTAAGATCTGGGACACAAGTGAGGAGCCTAGAGCCCAGCGCTCTGGTTCTCGACAAATTCCTTCCAGTAAGGATGCAGAGAATCTGGGACTCAGAGCTGGGGATGGGCCTATGGGCTTGCAGGGTCTCTTGCTCTGTCCCTACTGGGCAGGGGAGTGTGGTCACAGCCAGGGCCCAGTGTAGGAGGCTGCCCAGCTGAAGTGAGGGCTACCATCCAGCTGGAGGCAGCTGTCTGAGGCTGTGACCTGACAGGATTCCTGGTGGCAGGGCTGAGCCACAGCTCCACGACACCTGAGTGCCTCTGCCACACAAGCCTGCCAACAGCCCACGGTGTGGCCGGAAAATGTCCACTGCAGCAGCTGTGAGGGTGGGTCCATGCATTCCCTGACAGAGGCAGGGAGTGTTAAGCTGACCTGGACCTCTCTGGCCCCCTGGCTGCCTGCCCTTGAGGGAGGTCAGCCAGGCCCCCCGAGAACATGCAGCACTGTTGGGACTAGGGTGTGTGTCAAGGAGACTTGAAAAATTTCACTGGCCACCCTAGGTTTTGGCATCCCACAGGGCTGAGAGCACAGAGCTCTCTAGACCCCGTAGCCTGGCTCTAGACAGGTCTGGTTCTGGCCGGACTGCTGCCAAACTGCACGTCCAGGCAGGAGAAGAAAGACCTGCAGCTCTTGTGGAACACAGCACTCCAATCCTTGGAGAGCTCCAGGCCCCATGGCCACAGCTTCCTGCGTTTTGAAGCAGTCACTGCTAGGGCGAGTGGCACAGGTCTTCTTCTGGAATACAAAGCAAGAAGCAATGTGATTGGTGGGGAGCTCTACTGAGACGGAGCAGCCAATCAACAGTGCTGGACAGGAGAGGCAGGAGCCGGCTGGACCTGTGACTGTGACCCGGTGTGGCTGCTCCCTGCCTCTACCTCCCAAAACAGGCTGGTGGGAATGGATGCTCACATGCCCACCGGGGGTGAGAGGGGTGGTGAGGTGGTACTCGCCAGGGGTGGAATGGGAAGCATCTGGTCCTCTGACACAGCCTGGGAAAGTGCTTTGCTACCTTCCCAAGGGGCCGCACTCTCTACAAAGCTCTGATCCCACCCTGCCCTGCGTGGAGATTCACATGTGGGTGGGGAGCTGACAGCTCAACATCCGGCTTTGCCACCACTCTGCCAGGCACAGGGACTTGCTTTGTGCCTCCTTGGAGCTTGTGGGGAGGGGTGTGTTGGATGAGCTGGGCAGGAGAAAGGTGAGAGTGTGTGCTGGCGGGGGCAGATTTGGGAGAGAAAGAAGGTGCATAAAGTAGAAAGCTTAGACTTGGGGAGACAATGAGATGACCTCAAAGGTAAGAGCAAGTCAGCAAAAGGAGAGGCGAGGGCGTTCCCTGGGTGGGGAGGTGTTAGTGGATCTGGAGGTGAGATTTGAGGATCTACCCAAGCATGGGTCTCAGGCCCAGGATCCTGAGCTCATGGGTGAAATAGGGATGGGAGTTAGAGCAAGGGCAGTGGAGGTGGCGCTCATGGCTACAGGCTGGTAGGATGGGCAGGGCTGCTGCCAGGCAGAGTGGCCATCCTGTATAGCTCCACCACGTGCAGGCACGTGTGCTGGGGGCCAACTGGGGCAGGCAGCAGGCCAGGACCAGCACCAGTTTCATTTGCACCCCCTCCCCAAGCAAGGCTGCACTGAGTCAAGTAGAGAGAGGTGTTGGTTGAATTAGCTGGATGAAGAGAGTGGGAAGTAGAGGAGACCCTGTCCTAGGCCTTAGCTCTCCTCTCCCAGCACTTCAAGTACTGCCTCCCGTCCCTCCTGCTTTAGTCTTTTCCCATCACGTTACTGCGCCTGAAAGTCGGCACCCCTACCAATGGCCCCCTGGATTCCCTTCACCTCAGTATAGCTCCAGCCCCACACCTCCCAGTAGTGCTCCCCTGGCCCACAGCCTGCTGTCTGCTGGGAGAGCTCAGCCTTCTGGTAGCACAGCTCTCGGAAGCACTGGAGGCTGTGGCACATCTGTGGAGGCAGTCAATGCTGTGGGTCCCATGCCCACGGGATGAAGGTGTTGGCAAGCACCTGTCCTCCTCCATCATGGGCTGTTTATTTGGACAGGGACAGGAATCAGCTGACTTCTTGCCAGATTCTGAGCTCCCAATGAGACAAGTGAGAAGGCTGGTTGGAGAAAAGGAGCTGTGCAGAGTGTACCCGGCTTGGCTCCATAGCCACAGGCCAAAAAAAGGTCATGCAGTGGGCCTGGCATGGTAGCCTAGTGGCTTAAATCCCTACCTTGCATGCCCAAGGATCCCATATGGGCACTAGTTTGTATCCCACCCAGCTCCCTGCTTGTGGCCTAAGAAGGCAGTTAAGGATGGCCCAAAGCCTTGGGACCCTGCACCCGTGTGGGAAACCTGGAAGAGGCTCCAGGCTCCTGGCTTTGGATCGGCTCGGCTCCGGTCATTGTGGCCATTTGGAGAGTGAATCAATGGATGGAAGATCTC